TATATATATATATATATATATATATTATGCTTAGAAGAGGAGTGGGCTTACTAGGCTGCAAGTGTATGAAAGCCAAAGGAGGAATAAGGGGTAGAATATGTTGAGAGAAATTTGTGAATAAAAACCAAGCTAGCTAGTATACTTGGAGTGAAAAAAGAATATAATTCTTGTATAACACCAAAATGCAAGGAAGGAAAGATAAAGTGATGGAGCACTTTAGGATTCTGCATAGCTACTGTATCTATGTGCATGTTTTTTGTTCTAAAGTTTTCTTTTTAGGATTTTACCTCTATTGTAAGCAGCATGACTCCAAATTTTCTCGGTCAACCTAATTCTTGTTTATGTCTTTTGGTTGCATACCCCACTTCCTTTTGTGGTTCAGGATAAGTATTTTGAGTCAAGAAAACATAGCACCAAAAGCAATATTAAGAGGGTGAGGTGATAAAATATTTTTATGCAAAAAATAGTTTTCTTTAAGAATTGGTTACATCATATGAGTATTAATTTAAAGTAATTGATAAAGTTGCAATTGTATAAGAAAGACAAATGGCTTTTAGAAAGAGTCCTTAGAATAATACGAAACCTTTATCATATTTTAGTACTGTTTTGATTGAGACAGTTGTTATTAAATACATATTGTATTCATCGTAAGAAAATATAGGGCATGGAAGCTCTATATATATACCTTTGTCCCTCATCTTCGTAAAAATTGGTTGTATTTACATGATTATTTTAATTGACAAATGATGAAAGATGTATATGATCTATTTATGCCTGATCTTGATGTCGAAAAATTGAGATAATTATTATTAGATTCATGTTGTATTCATCGTGAAAAATTATAGGGCATCATAGTCCTATATATTTGTCTTTGTCCCTCATCTCGGTATATATTGGTTGTGGTTACATGATGATTAATTTTTTCGACAAATGATGAATGAGGTATTCGATCTTCTTATGCCTGATCCTGATGTCGAAAAATTGAGACGGTTATTGTTAGATGCATGTTATATTCATTGTGAAGAAATATAGGGCATGAAAGTCATATATATTTGTCTCTGTCCCTAATCTCGGTAAAAAATGGTTATGTTTACATGATGATTACTTTTGTTGACAAATGATGAAAGAGGTATACGATCTTCTTATCCCTCATCCTGATGTCGAAAAATTTAGACAGTTATTATTAGATTCATGTTGTATTTATCGTGAAAAAATATAGGGCATGAAAGCTCTAATATTTGCTTTTCTCCCTCATCTCGGTAAATATTAGTTGTTGTTACATGATTAATTTTTTTGACAAATGATGAAAGAGATAAACGATCTTCTTATGTCTCACCATGATGTCAAAAAATTGAGACAGTTATTTTATCAATCGGGAAAAACCCGAAACCAAACCCGAACCCGATAAACACGGATTTTTCTCATTCAAATCGGGGCGGGTTTAGGTGGGTACTCACGGGGGCGGGTTAGATTGTCATGCCTAATTCATCGTGAAAAAATATAGGACATGAAAGTCCTAAATATTTGCCTTTGTCCCTTATCTCGGTAAAACTTGGTTGTATTTACATGATGATTATTTTTTTCGACAAATGATGAAAGAAGTATACAATCTTCTTATGCCTCATGTTGATGTCAAAAAATTGAGACAGTTATTATTAAATGCATGTTGTATTCATCGTGAAAAAATATAGGGCATGAAAGTCCTATATATTTGCCTTTGTCCCTCATCTCGCTAAAAATTGGTTGCTTACATGATAATTATTTTTTTTGAGAAATGATGAAAGAGGTATACGATCTTCTTATGCCTGATCCTGATGTCGTAAAATTGAGACGGTTATTATTAGATGCATGATATATTCATCATGAAAAAATATAGGGTATGAAAGTCCTATATATTTGCATTTGTCCCTCATCTCGGTAAAACTTGGTTGTATTTACATGATTATTTTTTTTGACAAATGATGAAAGAGGGATATGATCTTCTTATGCCTTATCCTGATGTCAAAAAATTGAGACGATTATTATTAGATGCATGTTGTATTCATCGTGAAAAAATATAGGGCATGAAAGTCCTATATATTTGTCTTTGTCCCTTATCTCGGTAAAACCTGGTTGTATTTACATGATTATTTTTTTTGACAAATGATGAAAGAGGTATACGATCTTCTTATGTCTCATCCTGATGTAAAAAAAATTGAGACGGTTATTATTAGATGCATGTTGTATTCATCGTGGAAAAATATAGGGCATGAAAGTCCTATATATTTGTCTTTGTCCCTCATCTCGGTAAAAATTAGTTGTTTACATGATGATTTTTTTTTTCCGACAAATAATGAAAGAGGTATACGATCTTCTTATGTCTGATCCTGATGTCAAAAAATTGATACGGTTATTATTATATGCATGTTGTATTCATCATGAAAAAATATAGGACATGAAAGATCTATATATTTGCCTTTGTCCCTCATCTCGGTAAAATTTTGTTGTATTTACATGATTATTTTTTTTGACAAATGATGAAAGAGGTATAGGATCTTCTTATGCCTCATCCTGATGTTAAAAAATTGAGACGGTTATTATTAGATGCATGTTGTATTCATCGTGAAAAAATATAGGGCATGAAAGTCTGATATATTTGTCTTTGTCCCTAATCTCGGTAAAAATTGGTTGTGGTTACATGATTATTTTTTTCGACAAATGATAAAAGAGGTATACCATCTTTTTGTGCCTCATCCTGATGTCGAAAAATTTAGATGGTTATTAATAGATGATTTTCTATTCATCGTGAAAAAATCTAGGGTATGAAAGTCCTATATATTTGTCTTTGTCCCTCATGTCGGTAAAACTTGGTCGTGTTTACATGATTATTTTTTTTACAAATGGTGAAAGAGGTATACGATCTTCTTATGCCTGATCCTAATATCGAAAAATTGAGACAGTTAGTATTAGATGCATGTTATATGCATCGTGGAAAAATATAGGACATGAAAGTCTTATATATTTGCTTGTCTCTCATCTCGGTAAAACTTAGTTGTATTTACATGATAGTTATATATTTTTTTCGACATGATCAAAGAAGTATAGGATCTTATGTTTGATCCTAATATCGAAAAATTGAGACAGTTATTATTAGATGCATGTTATATTCATCGTGAAAAAATATAAGGCATGAAAGTTTAATATATTGCCTTTGTCCCTTATCTCGGTAAAACTTGATTGTATTTACATGATCATTATTTTTTTCGACAAATGATGAAAGAGTTATACGATCTTCTTATGTCTCATCTTGATGTCAAAAAAATTGATACGGTTATTATTAGATACATATTATATTCATCGTGAAATAATATAAGGCATGAAAGTTCTATATATGACATTTGCCCCTTATGTTGGAAAAACTTAGTTGTATTTACATGATGATTATTAGATGCATGTTTTATTCGCTGTGAAAAAATATAAGGCTTGAAAGTCTTATATATTTGTCTTTGTCCCTCATCTCGATAAAAATTGGTTGTGGTTACATGATGATTATTTTTTTGACAAATAATGAAAGAGGTATACGATCTTCTTGTGCCTCATCCTGATATCGAAAAATTGAACGGTTATTATTCGATGCATGATGGAACTACTTGAAAAAGATTGATGTTCTTCAAGTTGAACCATGTTAAGTCCCTTCTTCTCTTGAGGTTCTTCACGTCAATGGAAGATTTGGATGAGTTCAAGCTTTAAAAGCTTGAAGATGCTTCCCGAGGTGGTTCGGTTTCTCTTGAAGGAGAGAAACTTGAGGAACCAAGCACAAAGGAGAAGTTCCTTTGTGAAGCTTCTAGGAGAAGGAGATTCTCCACGAAATTGGACTCTTGAAATGAGAGAGAATTTCTGAATTCTAAGTCTCATAAATGTCAAAAATGATTACAAGAGTAGAAATTACAAATATATAGAGGTAGGTAGCTTAAAGAGCAAGCTAACCTTAATCATGGATCACTAGGAACCATGGTAAGGTTAGTTGACCTTCTAGGTGAGTTTAGAAACTTGTGGAGCAAGCTTTTCACTTAGCTTGCTTGGGAAGCAAGCTAAGGAAAAGCTTGTGCTACAAGCTTCTCATCTCCTTGAAGGTTAGAGAAGCAATTCGGTCAAAGAAAGAAGACTAGGCAAGGTGGGCGGATTTGGTCTCTTTTGGCTCCTTGAATTAATTTAAAACATGTTTGATTTGGTTTAGTTAGGTTCATCCAATGATGATGAAACCTAGCTAAATCAAAGGCACTCCAAGACACTCCTAAAAACACTAATGAGAGATGGAAATGCACCAAAGGCACTCCGAGACACTCCTAAAAAGGCCTTGTACAAGAAATGAAAGAA